TTTCTAAGTACCCAAAATGACCGCGACGGACACCCACGTGCAAGCACGCGGTTATCCGTCTGGTATTTTGGAGAGGATTGTGTAACATTGGGAAAGCGTCGCTTCGCTTAGTTAATTAGCGCTACGCTTCACGATGATAATAAAAACTTACAAAAAAAATAATTCACATCTATAAAAACTCCAATGATAATACTAAAATAATTTATCTATTGTCTTAGCGAAGCTAGATTTAGAGAAAAAAAAAATTTAGTTTAAGAAAAAAAAAAAACAACAAAAAAAATTATACTTATCTTGCAAGAATCTAAAGAAGTAAATAAAAAAAAGAATGCACAATAAAAAAAGATTATCTTATTATTACATTATATAAATAAAAACAATAAGATTTTTTTTAAAAAAAATCTGCAGAATTTTAATAAAAAATCTTTAAGATATTGCAAAATTTTGATTTTTTGCAAAATCTTAAAAATTTTTTATTAAAATTCTGCAATTTTTTTTTAAAATTAGAATTTTGCAGAATTTTAAAGATTTTTTATTAAATTCTGCAATTATTTAATAATTTTAGAGATTTCTGCAAATAATATACCAGTTTAATTTCCCAATAACTATCAATTTAATTAATAGTTTTAATTGCTTATTTTGAAAATCTGTTAAAGCCAGGTTCATTTATATAATAATCTACAAATTGCATAAATTGTGGTTTTGATTTTTTTATAAAGCAATTAACCCTAATTGCATCAAAAAAACTAACTCTAAATAAATCTGGCTTTAATGTTCCCCTTATTTTGGTAAAATGTTATACATAACATATAAACAAATAGTAAAAATTATTAAAAAATTGGTTAATTTCATGATTAAAATTCTTCACAACTTTACTATAAACCACTTTTAAAACTTTGTAAAAAGAATCTTTTAATACTAAAGAATTGCAAAATTATCTCAAATATTAAACTAATAGCTTTTTTTGTCTAAATAAATCAAAAAAAAAAAAATTTATCTAAATTTTACATATAAAATTTAGATGCATTAATCATTTGACTCATAATTAAAAAATTTACCCATGATATATTGATCAACTGTTAACTTACCCAAGATAGGTTTAGACTGCTGTTATTTTGTAGTTTTTTTTAAAATTCTATAATTTGATTTGCCATATTTCACATGATTCTACTCTGCTTTAAATGACGAATTCGAAATGATGTATCTAAATAATGCGCAGGTTAATTAACCAATTGAATTTCGAAATCAAGTCTGAAGATACATTAATAAAAGTCAGGTTTACTGTTTGTTATTGTACCAAATTTTTTTTGGTAAATCTTTCGGTTGGTAACGCTAAAGTAATAGTAAAGCATAAACTGTCTGGCTCGAATTAAAGCTAATAAACTTTAAATCTGAATAGTAACAAAGAAGCCGTTTATTTCAATTACAAAGAATCCTTTAAATGAATTAACCAACGTAATTCTCTACGTCTTTTCAGATTTCTAGATTTAAATGTGAATCTTTTTTTTTTTATTTCAATTGCAGTATAAATAATTTATTATATATGTAGAAGAGAATTTACAAAGGTGATCAAGATTTTAATATCAAAATATATATAGTGTCAAAAGAAGGTATACAGTATTACGTGGTATGCCTGTCAGAATTTTTGTTGTATGTAAAATGTGATCATTTCAAGAATAACCACAACCGGGAATCTTTCTTCTGCGTGAAACATTTAAATGTTGTCTAAATAGTCCTGTAGTCTCAATGAAAATGGAGATGACATGCTTGACCATTTATGTAATTATCATTGATCAATTTTTCACGTCAAATCGTTTAAATGTATGCAATGATACAAAGAAATAATATATAATAACAATTAATCGATCTTTAAATAAACTTTTTTATTAGTATTCGACACAACATTTTAACGTCAATCTTTCATTTATTAGCTTTAAACCTCGTTTGGTCAATTATTTATTAAATATACAACTACCAAAGAATGCGAATCAATTTTTATTGAGAATTTTTTGAGCGGTAATTTTACCCTCGTAAGCCTCTGTAGATGTGAATTACATTTATTAAATGAATATATAAACATGACTGAAATATATTGGTCTGTCCTATTTTAAATGAAAATAAAGAAAATTTAAGTCAAGAATCTCTTCGATAATATTTCGTATTCAGAATATTCATTTAAAATAGAATTAATGAAAGCCTTGCAAAATATATAAACCGAAATAAAATCGAAATTTTTACCCAAATCGATCAAAAATATTTGTCAACCCTAACGTGACTAATAATTTTAATGCGGAGAGTCTACGGACAGTACATAGGGACAGTGCAAATCATGTGATTTTATATAAAAACCATCTACCCTAACCGCTAACTAACCAATCACGTAGTTTTGCACTGTCCCTAAGCACTGTCCGTAGACTTTTCGATTTTAATGTTGTAATACACAAAAACATTAATCATAAACCTCCCCCCCTAACGTGACTAACACTAACCCCAATTGGATAAAAATCACGTACGTACATATTCATGGGTCGACGATCACATGAAAGTAAATCTTATCAAATCTTATCGTTTTCTCTTCAAATTTTTTTATGCTTAGCGTTAGTCAATAATTCTACTATGGAGTTAGATCAAAAATTGAAAACAGCAGTACCTTTATTGTCTGAAGGATTTTTGGCACACTGGGTGCCGATACTGAATCAAATTGAAGAACAATTAGATGAATTAAAGTAAGTATAATTCTCTTCCACAACCAAATTGCAATTGTGTGAAATAAATATTTTCCTTTTTCTAGAGATAAACAAAATCTTCTCATGGAAGATTTGAAAGATACAAATACATTAATGGAAAACCAAGAAAATTATGAATATATAGCGTTAAGTGTTAGTATCTTTTATTTTATAAAAATATATTTTCAAAAAAAAGTACTTTTTATCCATTCACAAATTTATTTTGCATAGTTTTCCAAACTTCCTCAATATCACACCAAATTACAAAATATACGTAATACTATGGTGACAATGTTATCTCGATCAAAAAATATGAAACAACGAGTTGCCCAACTTAAATTATTTAAGGAGCAACAATTGGCACAAATTGCCAAAATACATCAACGTGAAAGAACATTTGATCAAACTGTTTTGGCAGCAAAAGTTGTCGAAAATAATCCTATTGAACAAAAAGACGATGTGACAAAATCAATTAAGAAAAAGAAGAAAGAAAAAGCAAAAGAGAAAGGAAAAACTAAAGATAGAACCGTGATAAGACGAGAAATAGAATTCGATTCCTCTTCAACTATAATTGAGGCACCTTCAACTGTAACAGAGATATCATCGACTATAACTGAAGCGTCCTCAACTATAACCGAGGATAAAAATACTGATGAATAAAAATTCATGAAAAGAGATTCAACGAATTAGAAAAGAGACATTTTACTAATATTTTTAGATATTTTATAACTAATCGTTATCTGTTATTAAAATTATTTAACTTCAAATATAATTTTATTAAACTAAATTTAGTAAAAAAATAATGAGTACTGATAATGTCTATACTGTGTATTAAGAGAAAAGAATTAAAAAATTACTATATAATTGACTCTAAGACTTAAATTATAAATATATGGTTATAAATTATTCTTCTATAAAAGTGCGTTTTTCCAGTTCTCAATTCTGATTTTTCGTTTCCTTATCATAATAATATGTCATTTGCAAATCCTTAGTTTCTAAACCACATTTCCTATAGAAAGGAACATTCTTTTCGTTACAATCCAAGATAATCTTGTAACATTCAACTTTTTTACCAATATCTTTAAGTTGCTCGATGATCCTGTGCAATTAAAAAGGTTTATAAGAAAAAATATATATGAAATTAATTAATAAATAATAAAATATCACATACCTTTTTCCAAAATTCTTTCCTCTTTGAGAATCATGTACGACAATATCCTCGATATGACCAGCTTTTCCACAACCTCTTATGAATTTCATCTCAACAAATAAAGTTCCAACTGCCACAATTTTTTTTTCATCACTTTCAATAACAATTATATAATATCCTCCTACGAATTTCATTTTTTCGAATCGTTCTTTTATAAAATAAATGAAATTTTTTAAATTTTTTGATTTAATAATCTTTGACATAAATTTAATTTAGGAAATTAAGAAAACATACCAATAAAATTTTCTTCAGTTACTTCACCAGTAACTGAAAGTTGTTCTAAGCATTGAATAACCCCTATAAAAAAATATATTAAAAAACAGTTTTTTTTTATTATACTTGTATAAAAAATGTAAACCTATGAATTATCATTATAATAACTGGCAAATGGTCTCGATTCATTCATGATCATAATAATAGTAGATTCTGAAAACGATTTATTCTTAAATATTACGATTATCATTATTATTGTCCATGAATTTTACGAGTTCTTACAACGATAGAGTCATAAAAAACCTACCTTTTTTAAAATCATCTTTTGCGAGAGGTCTTAACTTATAATCTTGTGGTAATTCTCTTTGAATATCATCTGAAATCAATGATTCTTTAAAAATGTATTCTGTCATATTGAAAAAAAAAACTATAATGTTAAGTTCGGTGGTTGAGAGAGAAGTCCTCTTTATATCAGAAATTTTACTATAGTTGGTCCCTGTGCAATTGATGCAAGTTTTTACTGGTTTATTTGTAATAAATAACAAGTATTTACTTGTTTACCAATTAATCCCATTAACGCAAGTGCCATTAATCATTAAGACCATAACGATAAGAGCAATACCCGTAATATAACTCTAATACAAATTAGGAAATACTATAATTAAGAATTGTAATTGGGCAAATGTACTGTATATCGATATTTGTGTGTAACCATATCGATATGTAGAATTTATTTTATGAACAACGTTTGTAACGGTAATACAGACTATCTATGTATGTAATGATAAAAGAATTTAATACATTTTTTTTCTATAAATGTAATGTTATGATTTTTACAAAGTTTAAGCTTGCAAAAAAATGTACTAAATTTAATGACGATATCATCCTTCAAAATTAATCTTCATCTTCATCCGAGCTAATAACAATAACTTCATCCTTCTTGCGTCGTTTTCTATCACTAAGAATGATGACTTCATCATCTGATGTTTCTTTAATCTTTCTTTCTCGTTTAACTCCATTATATTCAAGACCCGTATTATTAATCCGATTAGCAGGATGAGGATATGGAACATCATGTCCTCGTGATCTTAACAAATCGGCCGCACGGTAATGAAGATGAAGCACTGCCAATGGCTTTCCTTTGTTTTGTAAATAAGTACCAGATCTTGTAGTTGTTGGATTGGATACTTGAACTACATCATACTGTGTAGTCAATTTTATTGCTCTTGTATCTTTATTCTCTGGAATAATTGCTGATTCAATATTATAATCAGGAGGTAGTGATCCATTTCTTGGTACACGTTCTGCTTGGTAAAAATATGCTGATATCGCACCAGAACCTCCACGTTTTTGAATTGATTCATTATTATTTATTTCATTTTTTTCTTCACTCCAAATCGTCGGATCAAACTTAAAATAATACATTTTGTCTTTATTTTTACTCCAAAAACATGTTCTTGTCTCGCTCAATCTGGTTGGATTAAGTTCCGTGTAAGTATAATCGAATTTATCGTCAACATACATATAAACTTTTATTAGACTTTCAGTGTTACAACAAGATGATGCCACGGAAAGTCTTACAGCATATCTTGTGCCAAATTCTTGAACTGCTGCATAGTGTGTAAGAGAACTAGTAATTTAATAAAAATTATGAATTTTGATTTTTTTTTTCTAAAAAAAAATTACTATTAAATATATTTCAAGTTATTAGTTATATACCTTGGCTCCTCTGGAGAATCTATTTCTTTACGAGTATATGATGGTCCTGTAGTTATAACCTTATCAACAAATAAAATCTTTTAATAAATACTAAAATAATTTGAATATTTGCAATATTAGAATGTTATGATATTTACATTATCGTTTGACACTCTTTCAGTAAACTCTGGAAGTGGTTTGTCATTTACAAGTATTTCGAGAGAAAAGTTGTCTAATTTCATTATTGGGTATTGACAAGCTATCTGCTATGGAAGAATAATAAAAACACGTTTAAAATATATGTCAGATTGTGGTAAGCTATTGATAATCAGCAGATTAATATATAAAAATACAGGTTGGCTTTTTGTTAATTAAACTAACGCTTTATTATTAAGTTCAAATTTAGAATATATATAATTATATATATATCTTAGTATATAATTAAGTTATTAAATTTTTTATAAACAAAATTTATATACAGTATATATGTTGTATATATATCGATATATATTTAATTGTCCGGAGCGTAGCGGAGGACATTTAGTGTTTATGTATGGTGATACCAAAATTACGTTATTGATGCATTAAAAGTTACTATTTTGATACACTACTAAGAAACATATCAGAAATGTAATTTTTAATTTTCTTGTCTGTCCGCACGCGTGTCTAAATTTGTACTTTGGTGTTACAAAACAAACACGTTTTTACAAAATTATAATAGGCTCCGGACACACAATGCTACGCATTAACCTAGTTTATTTTTAATTTACTGATTTATTTTGGATAATTTAACGATTAGCACAATGAGATGATTCTAATTAGTGCTCGGCACAATCAAACAAAAATTTGACAGTGATCAGTGTTGTTAATATCACTATTTGGATTTTTGAACTATGGTTATTTACCCGGTTCAAGTCAAGTCATAAAACATCGGATTAGTTAAATAACTTCAATGTCCAACGATATGCATAGTTCTATAAATATAATCTCATCTTATTGGTTTATAATCATACAATTACATATTTTAGATATCAGCACGTTCAATTGTATTGACTTAGTTAATAGATTAAATAACCGATTCATTAGTTCAAATAGTTAATTAACATTGTCTTGGTTAAATTAACAACACTGCTTGTGATTAAATCTGACATCAAACAATCGCAGATTCGTATATACAAATATATGTTTGACTTAATTCCAAGTATTTGACTGTTTGATTGTGCCAAGCACTAATTCTAATATTATTAAATTTAAATTACAAAATCACGAAATTAATAATAATATATATATTATTATATATATATTGCCAAAAATTTTTATAAAATGGTGTTTATAAAGAGTGTAATCACTGTATATAGAAGATAATTGTAAAAGAAAATAACAGTACAATCTAACCTTATTATAGTCACTCTTGATATAGTCACAAACTTGATGTAATCACACTATTTTTAACTCAAACTTGATGTAATCACACTATTTTTAACTCAAGCTAATATAAGACATATATATATATATACTAAATTATTATTTTTTTTTTTTTGATATTAAGATAAGAGTTTGTTTATATTTATTTTTAAGAAGTATAAATCACATCTATCAGTCAGGGAATATGTCACATATATATACATATGAGTTTCCGATCATAGTAAAATGTAGATCAATTTTTAAAAA